TCGTATCTTTGGCCCTGATATTCCGATACTTTAACCTGTTAAGACCAAATTTTTCAGGCCCAGTGCAATGGCTCAATTGGTCAATCCCATATAGGTGTTAATGTGTGTCGTGGGAAAGCAATGGAAGATGGCCCAAAGTTTAGGGACCATGCACCCGCACGGAAGACTCGGAGGAAACTCCTGACTACTGGCTTTGGTTTGGCTCGATTCTGGCCATTGCAGCCATTTGGAGAATGAACCAGTAAGTGAAAGATCTTTCTTTCCTTTTTTTTTTTAAGATTTATTTATTTTTATTGCAAAGTTAGATATATACAGAGAGGAGCAGAGACAGAGAGAAATATCTTCCATCCGATGATTTACTCCCCAAGTGACTGCAATGGCCGGTGCTGTGCCAATCTGAACCCAGGAGACCAGATCCTCTTCCAGGTATCCCACACAGGTGCAGGGCCCCAAGATTTGGGCCATTCTCGACTGCTTTCCCAGGCTACAAGCAAGGAGCTGGGTGGGAAGTGTGGCTGCCAGGATTAGAACTGGCACCCATATGGGATTGGGCACATTTAAGGTGAGGACTTTAGTCACTAGGCCATGGCGCTGGACCTGGAAGAGCTTTCTCTCTGTCTGTGGTTCTGCCTCTCCAATAAAAATAAACAAATCTTTAAACTATTAAATAAATAAATAAAACTGAAGTGTTGAATTCTGCAAATATTTCAATGACATACTGGTTTGAAAGTTACCATAAATGGTATATTTATTACTCAACTTAAGCCTTTATAGTTATCCTATGTACAGGGCAATGGGAAATAATGGAAATAAGCTTTGAAAAGCACCGATTCAGGAGCTGGCACTGTGTATAGGCTAAGTCTCCTTCTGCACTCCTAGCATTCAATACGGGTGTTAGTTCGAAACCTGGCTGCTCCACTCCCCATCCAGCTTCCTGCTCATGTGCCTGGGAAAGCAGTGGAGGATGGCCCAAGTCCTGGGGCCACTGCACCCACGTGGAAGACCTGGAAGAGGCTCCTGGCCTCTGACCAGTTCTACTCTGTCCATTACAGCCTTCTGGTGAATGAACCAGCACCTGGAAAATCTCTTTGTCCTTCCTTCTCTCTCTGTAACTGCCTTTCAAATAAAAACAAATCTTACACAACAAAAACAGCCTTTCCGTCCAGAAAGCACTGCATACACAGCACTGCACATGAACATTCCCTTCCGGCCTACAGTCCACCAGACGGCACTGGGGCAGGCCTCGGGCAAGGACTGGCATTTAAAACATGTTGTGTACGTGCTGTGCCCTGGGTCTACCTCCTTTCCTTTGTTCACATTGTTCTACTAGAAAAAACTACCCTTTCTTGTCTAGCAGTCCATAAATCCACTGACTTTTTAAAAATATACATATTATATTTATTTGAGAGACAGAGTTACATACACACAAAAAGAAAGCGAGTGAGAGACTCTTCCCCCGACTGGTTTGTTCTCCAAAGGGCTGATCCAGGGGGGATGTGCTAACCAAAGCTAGGAGCCCTAACTCCATCTGAGCTTCCCCTGTGGGTGGCAGGGGACCAGCACCTGGGCCACCTTCTGCAGCTTTCCCAGGTTCATTAACAGAGAACTGGATTGGAAGCAGAGCAACATGAACTCAAACCATGGCTCATACAGGATGCTGGCTTAAATCACCACTCCCATAATGTTGACCACAAACCTCCTGACTCTTCAAACTTCAGACCCTCTAAAAAAAAACCTTTTTCCTTCTTTCTTTTTTTTTTTTTTAAAGAGGATTTATTTTTATCGGAAAGGCAGATGTACAGAGGAAACAGGGAAAAAGATCTTGCATCCACTGGTTCACTCTCCAAGTGGCTGCAACAGCTGGAGCTGAGTCGATCCAAAACAAGGAGTGAGGAGCTTCTTCTGGGTCATCTGGGTCTCCCATGCGGGTGCAGGCTCCCAAGGCTTTGGGCCATCCTTGACTCCTTTCTGAGGCCACAGGTGGGGAGCCAAATGGGAAGTGGAGCAGCCAGGATTAGAACCAGTGCCCACATGGGATCCCAACCTGTGCAAGGTGAGGACTTTAGTCACTAGGCTACCATGTGGGACCCAAAAAGCTCATTCTTAACTTCCCCTTCCTATCTGCAAATCCTTAATGCACTGACTGTCCTGTCCACGTGTTTCTATTACAGAACCTTGTCACCCGTATACAGGCTTCCCTCCCAGTGATGAGATCTTAGTTGATGTCTGACATCTCCTAGGTGCTGTGTGCAACAGGGCAGGTTACCATGCCTCAGTAAAAGCCCCAAAACCTCAGTGGCTGGACACAGTGACGGATCACCTCCCATGCTTCAGGGCGGGCTGAGAGCTCTGCTCAAGGATCTGCACTGATGGGACAGTTCCCACAGAGCACTGCGTGTCACTGTGGCAGAGGGACAAGGAGGGCCTTGCAAAGTTCTCAAGCAGCACTGAAACGTTCTTGTCAGAGAGACTGGCTGAACCCATTACATGGGAGCAGCCAACCACCAGCCAACCACCGGGTGAGGAGGAAGTGCCTGGGAGGTGTGCGCAGAGATGTCTGGAGAATACAGAGACGGCCACTGATAAGCCTGCTAGTCAGTAGGCATCTGATGCACTACCTCTCCGACATGCTCCGTCTGGGCAAACAATCCAGGAATTCCATCGGTAAACAGCTGCAACACTGAGTTGAAATGGAAGACTCCAAATAATGCACAAGGTTTATTTGGAAGATAGAGAGATGTGGAGAAAGTCCGGAAAGACTGGTTCACTGCCCCAAAAGCCACCAGAGCCAGGAATTCCACCCGGGTCTCCCACAGGGGTCCAGGGCCCAAGCACTAGGGCCATCTTCTGCTGTTTGCCTTAGCAGAGAGCTGGACTGGACGTGGAGCAGCCAGGACTCAAGTGCTGACACAGATGTTGCAGGCAGTAGCTTAACCCGCAGAGCTAGTTTTGGAGATGGTTCACACAGGTGGGGATCTATCAACCCTGAGACAGATAGCACCCTCTGCTCTGCATCTCATAGTCTGGGATCAGGTCAAATTAAACAGATTAGGGAGGAAAATGGATCCCAATAGCTTAGGGAAAGTGGTAGTCCAGGAAGCAGATGTGGGGAAGTCACCTGGCAGAGAGGTTTGTTTTCAGATCCAGTTGTGTTCCTTGGGAGGGGAGCATTAGGCAGCTGTTCTGTTGAAGCTCTGAGACGTTAGGACTCTCACTGCAGCTTCACCAATCATAACGTATCCGTAACTGGCAGAGAGACTAGAATCAGGAGGCCGGTGCCACGGCACAGCACGTTAAGCCTTTCCCTGCTCCACCAACATCCCTATGGGCACCAGTTTGAGTGACCACTGCTCCATGTCCATTTCAGTTCCCAAGCAGTGGAGGCTGGCCTGACTGCTTGGGTCCCTGCATCCACGTGGGACACTAGGAAGAAGCTCCTGGTTTTGGCTTGGCCCAGCTCTGGCCTATGGGCATTTGGGGAGTGAACCAGTAGATGAAAGATATGTCACTTCTTTCCCTATAAATCTGCCTTTTAAATAAAATAATAAATGAACATTTTAAAAAATAGAAACTGGAATTGGGATGGGGATATTGTTGCATATTAAACTGCAAAACAAATATATATATATAACCCCCAACATGTGAACCAGAAGTTTACATGGAACAGAGATCCTCCAGGAAGCTGATGGCAGCAGCCAGTGAACTCTGGGTGAAACCTCCACAACAAAGTGCCTCAGAAGCTTCCAGATTCAGGAGAAAAATTAAGAGAATAGAACTTTAGCCCAAGAATTAGTCACCATTGACAAAACAGCAAGAGAGGAGCTCAGACGGGGTGCGGGTAGCTGGCCTGTAGTCCTAGCGTGTCTCCATGAAAACAGGGGTTGGCAAGGCTGACAGAACCTTCTCTTTAGTGGATCCAATTGAGATCTGGTTGGGAGTGACAAAAGCTAACGCAAAGCTAGCTTGGCTGGGTGGATGACCAACCATCCCCATTTGCCCAGGATGTCCCAGGGTTTTAGCACTGGAAGTCTCACAGCCCAAGAAATCCTATTTCTAGGCCAAGAAGAACAGGGGCTGCCTCTACTTGCAGGATGCAAAAGGCAATGGCCATCCATCCCATCCGTGGTGGCTGAACCTCTGACCACCCCAACTGTCTTGGAGGAAAGGCCGATTCCGACTGCAACATGCAGACCATCTCAATCAAACTGACGCACCTGGGGAAGCAACTTCAGAAGCAGTCCTCGAGGTTCAAGAGAGGCAGAATACCTACCCAATTGAAGAAATCTCTAAAAAAAAAAAAAAAAAAAGCCAAACAAAACAAACTGGCCAGCAGTCAGAGATGAAAAGTGAACCCCCCATGGACAGTTTCTCACCTACCCAGAAGGCAGGCAGTTTGTCACACTTGGTAAACTGCAATCTCAACATTATACTTCTGAGCATCAGAATGATGCCTGGGCCAGTCTCCTGAGGTAATGGCACTGATGTGAAGCCAAGCTGGTTGACCAGAGGGTACCTTTCCCTCAGGAAAAAGTAAACCAAACCCATAAAAATGACACACACAGAGACCCAGGAAGGGTCCAAAGAGCAACCAGAGGGCGCTTCCACTTCTGAGAAAAGGGGAAGCTGCTCAAATCCGAGCCAAAATCGCTGCCTGTGAGGTGTGAACCCTGCCAGCCGACTTGGAGATCAATCACAGTCACGCAGTCCCAGGAGCAGAGAAAGGCCCTGGCGAGCAGGGGAGCGGCCAAGGCCTCCTGCAAGGACCGCGGGCGTCTTTCTCGGCTGGTGGAGGACAGTCACACAGGGCTGTAAAGATTTGGACCTAACCTCCAACCAGGTTAAACAAGAACACCCAACTGCCCTGTTGCTAAATTCCAAGCTTTTATGGACATTCTTCATAAAATGCTTTAGGTACTTTCTTGCTTCCAAATTTGACATTAAGCCTTTTCCAACACTAATCCAAAGGCATAAAACACAAGGTGGAAACACACATTTCCCTTTATTGCATTAGAAAAATTCATTTGAGCCACATGGTGGCCATAATGCTGTAGTCCCCGCAGCAGGCTCTGTCACCCCACCACCCCTTCCTTCACACACACACACAATGCTGGAGGGAGAACAGAACCCTGTGAAACAAACAGAGCTGGACACGGAACACTCCACGTCCCTCCTCCCTGCAGACAATCCACATTCCTCTTCAACTACTATCTAATGTTGAACACTAAATAAACTGACCCCAAAAGACTCCATGAGTCTGAAGAACCCTGGGCCGGTGTCTGGGAAGTATGGCTGGAAGCATTGGCACCTGCCAACAGCTCAGTCTCCATTTAAGATGGCAGAGCCCACCACAGGCACAGCAAAGCACAGAGCAGGCCACTGGGGGAGATCACGCCTTCCCATAGCCACAGTCACACCCCAGGGCCTGGCACACCCAGTTGAACACCATCCCCTAGACCTAGGAACTTGAGTTGGCTTGGCAGCATGAGTGCTCTGAGCTCGCTGGCTAGCTGGCTGGACACGTTGAGGTCACCATTCCCAGCCAACACACTGGGTGGGACATGGGGGATGCTATCGCATCCCTCGGGGTGGGTGGTCAGGAAGACCCCTAGGAGGTTCCGGGCCGGTGAGCTGGCCTCTGGGGTTCCAGGAGTTGCCAGGCACTGGGCTCTCCAGCAAGCTTTCCAGGGACTCCATCACTCGCACGAAGACAGAGAGGAGTGTGAGCACCATGCCCAGGAGGTAGAGGTTCACCATCTGCTTCATGGCTCCACGTCGTCCCCCTCCTCTGTCAGCGGGAGGGCCGGGGGCCTGGGAAAAAGATGGGCAGGGGTTAACCTACAGCCTTGGAGGAGGAGCGCGCCTGGGCCCGGCCCACCCAGTCAGGCGGGGAATGTTCTTCCCCAGCAGACACTGCAAACGGCAAGGCTACAGAGGGAAGCCTATGGCTTCAACCAGCACCACAGCACTCCTTAACAAGTCTCCTTGCTTAACAACTTTACTTCTGCAGGGTACAACGGCCAATCGTGTGCTACGTGCAGGAAGCCGGGTAACCGTCCTCGGGTGGAGGCTCTGTCCCTTGAAGAGAGGTAGGTGGGAATTAAAGAAAAAGAAAATGTACTAGAGAAAGTAACCTGTCTACAAGTGTCTGTCACATCAGAGTTGACCAGACCTTTCAAGCGGCAGAATAACTGAGAGGCCCAAACCCATTGAGTCTATTTCCTGGACAAAGATACCCTGAGTACTTACAACGTGTAGGCCTCCTGGAAGGTACTAAAGGCCTCAAGCGAAGCCTAGGAGACAGGATCCCCAGATCTCCTGGGGTACTTAGCACACAGCACGAGACGTGTTGGGATGGGAAAGAGATGCAGGAGTGCTTAGGAAGTCTTACCCGGCACTGGCCAACACGGGTGGCCACGTGGATCCCAGCTTGAGCACCACAAAGGGAGAAACAGGGGCGACTGCCTGGGGGGGACCCCGGCTTGGTGCAGGGGCTCAGGGGCAGGGGAGACACTCCTGGCGGCAGGCCCCGTACTCTGTCGGGATTGGGAAAGAGGTGGGGGGCGGGGGTCCGGGGAATCCAGACCTAGGCCGGGGAAGCCCTCGGGACCGCTTACCTAAAGAGCTGCGAAATGACGCTCGCCGTCACAGCAGATCGTGCAGCAGGCGGGAGAAGAGAGAGGAGCCGTTCAACAGGCAGCAAGCGAGGCCGCTGCGCGCACCACGGCCCGCGTAGCCGGGACACGAAAGCGCAGTGGGCCAGGCGCGACACCTGCGGCCGCCGGGTCCCTCCCCTTATAGCGGCCGCCCCGGAGGCCCGCAGGCGCACGCGCACGTCGGGGCGCACGTCCGCGGCTTGCCCCTCCCGGCCAGGGCGGGATCTTGGCTCGCGTCCGCCATTCCCGCATTCCAGGCCTGGGCGGGTCGGAGGGTTTAGGGAAAGAATCCTCCTTGTCCTGGGGTGAGCCTGTAGCTGCCGGTGAGGGCGTCACTTTGTGTACTGGCCACCAGATGATGTTTAAGGGCGCTTTTCAGCTTGAACCAAAGAGCTGGGGAGGAGGTCCTATAATCCGGGTTTAGGCCCAGAACATCACCCACTCGAGCGGGGGCACGGAGACGCTGTCTTCGGGGCTCTCTGGGCTGGGGTAGGGCCTTGGGGGAGGCGCAAGGCTCGGGCTCCTGCGGGGTTGGAGCTGCGGGGGCGGGAGTTCAAGGGGTCTCCTTCAGCTGGGCCAGCTCAGCCGAAAGGGGACGGTCACCTTTCCCCTACTTTGTGCTGTCTGTCGGGAAGGCAGGGCGGGGAAGACCCGGGGAAGAGAAAGTGTGGATCCGACGTGCTGCCTGGCAGGCAGTCGACAGCCCCGCCCGGCCTCCTCCTCCAAACCCCTCCTAGTCTTTTTGGTTCTGCTTCGCAGTGTTGTCTGTGCCCTTTGACCCAGTATGCCACTTCTAGGAATTCTAGTAAACTCTCATGTGGGGAATGGAGATGTGGGGAGCTGATCCTTGTAGCCTAGGGGTGTGTGGAGGAAGGGGAACCCAGTACTGGCCTGTGCAGGTCCACTTAGAACTTGAACCAGGGAATGGATGACTTCTCTCAGTAACTCTCAAAAATAAATAATAGTGAAGAAGGCATTTAGTTAAATAAGTTAGAGTGTGTTGATAGAAAAGTTAGACCCCCAACATAGTAAAGGAGAAAAGATACATGCACAGCCTCTGTGTGATGTGCCACAGTTTATACCAAAACAAAGCCACGCAGTGCGGTGTGCGCAAGGAGGTGCCACCTCACACCGCTGGGAGAATGAAAACAAAGCCGGGAAGGAGCAAGTGTTGGGGAGGGATGGACAAGGTGGAATCCTGCACTGCCGCTGGGAATGTCAAATGCTGCAGTTGTTTTGCAAAAGACTTTGGCAGTTCCTTCAAAAGTTAAACATAGGCTTACCATATGATCCAACAGCTCCACTCCTGTCTTCCCGAGAACTGAACAGTGCTCAGGCAAGCAGGTTTGCACAAATGTTCTTAGCAACGTTGTTCATGACAGGCAAAAAAATGCAAACAACCCAAATGTCCTTCAGCTTGTAAAAGGGTAAGTAAAGTATGATACAGTGGAACGGCATCCACAAAACATGAAATATTGATACAAGCTGTACGCGACAACCACAAGCCAAGTGAAGGGAACCAGACACCAAAGGGTACACGTAGGGGAGAGCTCAGAGGGTTTTTTTTTTTTTTTTTTTTTTTATTCAAACCAGCGCTCTGATGTGGGCTGCAAACATCTCCAGCACTGGTCAAGTACTGGCTCAATGGCTAAATCCTTACCTTGTATCTGCTGGAATCCCATACAGGTGCAGGCTCATTTCCTTACTGCTCTACTTCCCATCCAGCTTCCTGCTTGTGGCCTGGGAAAGCAGTCGAGGATGGCCCAAAGTCTTGGGACCCTGCACCCATGTGGAAGACCTGGAAGAAGCTCCTGGCTCCTGGGTTTAGGTTGGCCTAGCTCCAATCATTATGGCTACTTGGGGAGTGAACCAGCAGAATATTTTGCTCTCTGTGTCTCTTGCTGGAAATCTCCCTTCCCGATAAAAATAAATAAATCTTAATAATAGTAATAATAATTGAGTGTTTTTTTAAAGCACTGGCTTGACCCTTTTTACTATGATATCCACTTCTCAAAAATATTTAAGGGTATTGTTTCATTTAGGAAAGTAAAAGTAACAAAATGAACTAAAACACGTGATAAATACTCAAGGTGAAGCAGTGAGTGGAAATAAAGTCGAACAGGTCTCTATTGGGGAGGAAAGTAGCTATTGATTGATACTGTTTCCATTTTTATAGCAAAATCTCCAGGGTAACATTCTTCCCTCCCTTCCTGAACAATTCCGTCTTCAAGCCTAGAGAGAGAACCTAGTGAGCCGAGGGGCCAGGGTGCAAGACCGCCTTTATTCGCTGCTTTGGAGCAGGCTTCCTCTGTGACTGCCAAGGCAGAAGCGATAGAAAAGGGGGGCTCCCTCCAGGCTTAACGCCCAGTGGTTTCGTGTAACACCGTGAAGGAAGGAGAAAGAAAGGTCCAAGTTGCTGGAGGGAGTGAGGACTGAGAAAATCCTGGTGTGTCTCTCTCTCTCTTTTTAAGACTTTACAATTTTTGTTGGAAAGGTAGATGTACAAAGAAGGAGAGATGGAGAGAATGATTTTCCACCTGTTACTTCACTCACTAGGTGGCTGCGATGGCCAGAGCTGAGCCAATCCAAAGCCAGGCGCTTTTTCTGGGTCTCCCATGTGGGTGCGAATTCCCAAGGCTTTGGGCCATCCTCCGCTGCTTTCCCAGACCACAAGCAGATGGATGGATGGGAAATGAAGTAGCCAGAACGTGAACTGGTTCCCATGTGTGATTACGGTGCTTGAAGGGGAGGGTTGGCCAAGTGAGCTGCTTCTCCGGACCAAGTCTCTCTTATGATGCTTATCATTGACATGAAACAAAAGGCGAGCCTTTACTGAAATGAGGAAATTGGGACTTTCTCATCCCCAAATTCTCTTTCTCATTAGTAAGCTTTCCTGAGACATTCACGGAGTTCTTTTTTTCTCGTTTGAATATTGTCGGTCTTTCTATGTCTGTGGAATGTGAATCCATGGACTCACATCAAACACAGAGAAAACATAATTTGGGGAAAAACTAAAAGATTGGGTGCCTACTTCACATGTACTTTATTTTATCTTGTCCTTACTCACCAAACAATGTGGTGTGACGAGTATTAACATTAATATTGTATTGCAAGTTGCAGAAGCCATGCAGAGGTTAGGCGTCCTGGGTAACCTAGATACCGTAAGTGCACAGGACAGGGTGAGTACTTGGTAATGTGTTAAGATGCTCATGTTGGAGTGCTGGGGTTCAAGTTCTGGCTTATTTCCATTTCTAGCTTCCTGCCAGTTCTCACACTGAGAGACGATAGTGACTTAGAACTTGGGTCTCTGCCATTCACATGGAGCTCCTGTGCCTTTTAAAGCCATTAAAGGGGTCAGTGCTGTGGCTGAGCCCACGTGAGTGGTTAGTAGTTAATCTCACGGTCAGAACTAAGAATTGAGGCCTCAGAACTGCATAATGTCCAGGGGGTTAAGCCACTGCCTGCAATGACGACATGCCATATCAGAGGGCCAGTTTGGGTCCCACCTGCTCCACTTCTGGTCCAGCTCCTTGGTAATGATGGCTCAAGTGTCTGAGTACCTGTTGCCCACGTGGCAGATTCAGCCAAGGGTCCTGGCTTCAGCCCAGCCCTGGAAGTTGTGGCCATTTGGGCGGTGGACCAATAAGTGAAAGATCTCTCTCTTTCTCTCTTTTCCTCTACCTCTTTTCCCTCTGTGACTCTGAGTTGCAAATAAATACATGAATTTTTTTTTAAAAAAATTGAGGCATCTGGCCCAAGTGAGGGAGGGGAGAGCCAGTGTTCACTGTGGGTGCCCTCTGCCCACCCTTCAGGGTCACCCCACCTTTCACAGGGCACATGTCCTGGCTTTCCACATGGCCACGGCCCTCCCACTCCCACCTGGCCTCTCAGCACTGCCCTAAACTCTTGACCTATTTTTTTCCATCAACAAATTAACATGTTCAGTTTCTCCCACCCGCTACCTGCTCATTTCCTATCTGTTTTCACAACATTGCTCAAATCATACATTTACCAAATGTGAGTTAAAGTTTGTCCTTTAATTATAAAAGTAACAGATGCATTGGGGAGACGCTCGGTCATCCTCTCACCCAGAAGGATCACTGTTAAAATGTGGTTGCACAATGAATACACAAATAGAATTACTCACAGAGCAGCTGGGCTCTTTTAAAAAAATATGAAATATCTTAAAAGATAAAAATGATCCATTCATTAATTAAATATTTGTTGAGCAACTACTTTGCGCCAGGCACTGTCTGGATTTAGGAACACAGTAATGGGCAAGACAGTCCAAGTGTTTCCTCTTTGGGGCTCCATTCCAGGACGGGGGCTAAGGTAGGCTAGTGGTGGTGAGAACCACGAAGAGAAAAAACACAGTCTAGAGAGGGACACGGACAGGGTCTCGGATATTGCTTGATACAGGATAATCAAGAAAGCTTCCCGAAACAGGGCATTTGAGCAGCGACCAGATGGAACTACCCAGAGACACAGTCGGAAGTACACATCTTCCTGAACGTGCAGGGAGGTAGACGTGGGAGCCCCAGGGTCAGGAGGCAGTGGGTCCTCTTAGGGTTCTGGGCTGTTCTGTTTTGTAATGACAACACCTGCTTTCCCCTCACATTTAGATGTACACACACACACACACACACACACACACACATGCACACACACACACAGTCCCTCATTCCAGTGCCTGGCACCTCTCCCCTAGACACTGCTGCCGCCAGCTGACAAGCTCCATGGCTCTGTTCCACGACATTGGGGGGTGGAGTAGGGCAGGGAGCATCCTGCTGCCTGTTAG